CTGGAAGTGTGGAATTAGTGTCTATTTTCCCAGTGTCACAATGGCTCCCCTTGAGTTTATGATGGTCTGAAAGCTGTGCTATTTTCTGAGTCAAGATCTGACAGAACTGGGCTAGAAGAGGGGGCTCTTTGGAGACCAGAGCCCAACTAAGCATCTGCCATACTGCAGTGAAGAGTAACTGCTAACTCTGCTGCAAAACCTGGAATCTTGGTCCATTTGCTATTGCTTATGGCAGCATGCCTAAAACTGGGTAATTTATTTAAAAAAACAAAATTTATTTCTTATAGTTTTGGAGGACAGGATGTCCAAGACCAAGGGGGTGCATCTGGTGAGGGCCTTCTTGCTGGTGGGGACTCTCTGCAGAGTCCTAAGGGAGTAGTGGGCATCCCATGGGGAGGGTGCTAGCTCAGGTCTCTCTTCCTCTTCTTAAGCCATCAGTCCCACTTCCATGATGACCCATTAATCCACTGATCCATGAATTGATTAATCCATTAATGAGGGCAGGACCCTCTGACTCAATCACCTCTAAAGGCTCCACCTCTCAGTACTGCCACTTCAGAGATTACATTTCAATATGAGTTTTGGAGGAGACAAACGTTCAAATCATAGCAACCAGCTTGAACTAGGCCAATGTAAGGCCCACCTTGGACAGGTGATAGACAGGTGAACTCTCCACTGTGGTTTTCCGGGCTGACCAGAGCCAGCTGAGCTCACACGTGTCCTGACTGCAGAGAGGGCAGAGCTCATTTCCCAGAGGAAGAGCAGGGACCCCAGGCTCTCTACCAGCTGCATTAGAGATTGAGCCATCCATGGTGGTAGCCACACATGGCCAGTGGCTAGCCATGCATGGCCAGTGGCTACATTTAAGTTGAAATTCATTAAACTTAAAATTCAACATTGGGTTCCTCAGTTGCATTAGCCACACTGTCTAGAGAGAGTTTACACTGCAGCAGGGAGGAGGACTGAGTCCAGGGAGTTCAAGTTGGCTGGGGTTCACAAGGCAGAGTGCCAGACAGGAGTGACTGCATAGAGAGAGCTCCCAAGACTTTCAGAAGCATTCCTCAATGTATCCATCTGAGTGCTGGCTAGTGCACACATGTGATGAAACCACTACCTCAAAGAATTAGAGAAGCAATCCTCAGAGCTCACACAGTGCCAGCAACAGTTTGTCTTCCCAATAGCCAGAGTGGAAAAATCTAGTGATTCATAGGACATCAGGTGGAATGATCAGAAGGGTATTGCCTCAGTACTGGGGAAAAATTAGCCCTGGAATAAGTGCTGCTTAGGTTCTGCCTAACAAAGCTTAAAAGCAAGCCTCAGAAGAATTAAACTGCTTTCAAGTAATTTTACTCCATTCCAGAATAAAGCTGAAAAATATTTATAAGAATAAAAAAGTATTCAGAACCAAGTAAGGTAAAATTCACGATGTCTGGTATCTAATCAAAAATTACTAGGCATGTGAGTAAGAAGAAAAATGTGACTCATGAATGAGGAGGAAAATCAATCAAGCAATAGAAACAAACATGATGACACAGATGATAAAATTAATAGGCAAGCACATCAAAAAATTGCCTCTAGTGCTTCCACATGTTCAAGAAGACAGAGGAAAGATGGAGCATGTTATGTGTGGAGAAGGAGTAGATATTTAAAAGCACCAAATCAAACTTCCAAAGATGAAAACTATGATATCTGAGCGGACACATGCACTGAATGGCATTGATGGCAGTTTAACACTGCAGAAGAAAAAATTAGTGAACTTGAAGACATAGCATAGAAAAAAGGACTGCAAATATGAAAAGAGAATCAGTGAGCTGTGGGAAAACTTCAAGCAGCCCAACATAGATGTAAGTGGAGTCCCTGAAGGCAGGACAGAATTATCACAAGGAAGTGCCTTACGCATTTGTGGAGGCTGAGCACATCCAAAATTCATAGGCTAAGAACTCAGGAAGAGAAGACCATGGACAGGCTCAACCCATGGGCTTTCTGTCTCTATCCAGACAATCCAGGAAAAAGAGAGGGGACAATGACTAATATCAACAATTAGAAAGGTGACATCTCTACAGATTCTATAGATGTTAAAAAATGAACAGGAATAAACGTCTACATGCCAATAAATTCAACTTCTATAAAATGAACAAATTCCTTGAAAGACATCAACTACCAAAGCTCGCACAAGAAATAAATAACCAAAATAGTTCTATAGCTATTTAAAGAACTGAATTTGTAGTTACAAGCCTTCCTACAAAGAAACCAGGCAAGATGACTTCACTGGTGAATTCTAACAAACATTTAAGCAAGAAATAATAACAATTTCCACAAACTCTTCCAGAAAATTAAAGAGTTGGAAATACTCATGAGTATTTCATAAGGCCAGAAGTATCCTAATGCCCAAATCAGACAAAGACATTATAAGGAAAAAGAACTCTAGATCAGTACTTCTCAGGAACATAGATGCAAAAGTTCTTAACAAAGTTTTAACATATCCAATCCAACAATATATAAAGAGGATGATACACCATGAGCAAGTGGGATTTATCCCAGGGATGCAAGGTTAGTTTAATATTTGAATATAAAGTAATGCGATTCACTATATTAATTGACTAAATAAAAACATAATTGTCTCAATTAATGCAGAAAAATCATTTAATAAATTCCAATATTTATATAAAAACTCTCAGCAGATTAGAACTAGCTGCAAACTTCCTAAACCTGATAAGTGGCATCTATGAAAAACTACAGCTCACATCACACTTAAATAAAACACTGCATGTTTCCTCCCTAAACATCAAGAACAACACAAGCACATCCACTCTCACCACTTTTATTTGGCACTGTCCTAGAGTTTCTAGCCAGTGCAATAAGACAAGAAAAAGAAATGAAAGGCATCTAGAATTGAAATGAAAAGGTAACCTGTCTTTATTCACGGGTAACACAATTGTTTACATGGAAAACGCCAACAAATCTACAAAAAAGAATAAATCTGCTGGAACTAATAAGTGAACTTAGGACAGTTGCAGGAAACAACATCAATATGCTAAAAGTCAGCACTAGCAACAAAACATAGAAATGGAAAGAAGTAATACCACTTTAAATAGCTGATAGCTTCTGAACTAAGAGGAAGCTGCAGGTAGAGGGGGCAGGTGGAAGATTTAGGAGAGTATGGAGGTGGTTGCTGAGCCTGGTATGAGAAGAGCCTGGAGAGAACAGGAACGAATGCTTTGCCGAAACTTCTGGATCCGTTGGGCTGGAAGACAACCAGCAAGGAACAGCAAGGAAGGAACCAGCAAGGAAGCTTCTGGAGCCATTGGGTTGGAGGACAACCTCAGCAACCCTCTGAGGAGGGAGAGACAGAAACTCTCTGCAGAGACCGCAGGTTGTAACACAGAAGCTGATGGCCTCGATTTCCCTCCGTGAAATGGGAGAGTAGGGTGCTGTTGATAGTCAGAAAGGGTGTGCAGGCTGTGGATGCTAGGGAGGAAGCCCACAAAGGGGCTGATGGCTTGGCCTTGTAAGAAACAAAACATCATGTCTCCTTGGAGTCATATCTCCTGTGCCTTGCCAGGCATAGCGGGCCCCAGCCTCTTCAACCAGGGAAGACGGCAGCCAATGGATACCCGAATGGCTTTCTCTCTTCACCTGTTCCCCCACTCTCCTGTTCCCTAGAACCATGTTCCCACATAAACCACCTGCACGCAGCACTTGTATCAGGTTCTAAAAATCCCACCATGTCCCTGGAGCTCAGGATCTTCAAGGCTGAGGGGAGGCCCTAAAGGTGAAGCTGGGGGTGAACCAGAGTAAAGGAGAGCATCTCCAGTGATGAGGGAGTCCAAGACCCATGATCCTGGGTTATGGGGGTGGACAGGAGGAGCGTGACTATCAAGCTGCCTGGGCCCAGGCCCAGGCCCATGTGTGAACAGCAACCCTGTGAATCTTGCTCTTGGCCTCTGAGCCCTGGCTCTGGATTATGCTCCAAAGATGGTGACATCGCATCTCCTGTGGTCTCAGGGATCAGCTGGGTCATGCAGGCTTCAGCAAGTGTTGTGGTCACCACCATTCCCATGAGATAGGTCATACCCACAATGTAAAATCCCACTTGGGCTGCAGGACAGCCAAAGTCTGGGGAGGAGGCACCGCTCATACTACCCATAACCTTGCCCAGAAGGGGCACTGCCTCTAAGGGAAGATTGGACCCGGGTACCCCTTCAGTGTCGCCCTCCTCTGGCATCTCCACTTGGTGGCAGTATTGGACCAGAAGAGGAACTCCAGCAGGCAGCCACCAACCGGTCCCTAAGAGCTGCTGTGACAGCAAAACTTAGCTCTTTCCACAGGAAAGTCTGGGGAGTCTAATGCCCTCATTTCACAGGGAAGTAAGGTATAGCCTGGAAGCCAGGATTCTGGATAATTAATCTGCAGGATTCCAGAACTCCATGATACTGTGATTTTTTTTTTTTTTTTTTTTTTTTTGAGATGTGGTCTCTGTCACCCAAGCTGAAATGCAGTGGCATAGTCACGGCTCACTGCAGCCTCGAACTTGTGGCCTCAACCAATCCTCTCACCTCAGCCTCCTGAATACCTAGGACTACAGGCGCACACCACCATACTCAGCTAATTTTTTATAGAGACGGAGTCTCACTATGTTGCCCAGGCTGCTGTCAAACTACTGGGTTCAAGAGATCTGCTGGCCCCAGCCTCCCAAAGCACTAGAATTACAGGCATGAGCTACCTGTCTGGCCCACCGTGATTTTCTTTTATTCCCAAATTTGATTTTCTTATGATCCTAAGACTCTCCATCTATGGGTCCATGCTTGGAGAATCATAAGTTTCTAAGATCAGAGGGTTCTGCTGACTCAGTTCCCCTGCATCCTATGATTCTGTGTTTGGGTGATTCTAGCATTTCATTGCCATTTCATAGGATCAACCAGGATTAACCACATGGCTAAAGGGAGAGGCTGATGGCCCTACTTCCATGGTTCCTGGATTCCATCTTCTCTTCCCCATAGGAAGGTCCACAGTTCCCCACACATCACCAGGCCGCCTGCAGAGAGCAGGCTCAAGAAGTCACCTTGCAATGAGAATGAGATTGTGTGTCTCCTACATCACGCCCTAACGGAGAGAGGACAGCATGGACCTGGGAGGTGGATGGCTGGGGTGTCAACTGAGAAAGACATGTCTGTTGGACCCCAGAGTTGATTTTCATGGCATCCAAGAGCTGCCTGTGAGAACACACAAAGTTTGATTTGTGAAGGGATGGTCACACAACAATCATGTGTCAGCCTTCTCAAAGGTGGCATCCATGGCACAGCATGTGAAGGGCTTTGAGTCAACAGACATTCCTGGTAAGAAAGCGGTGTGGGGGTGTGGAAGGATCCCTGGAGGCTGAGACCTGGAGACCAGGGTCTGCCCTGCGGGCCCATTGCTCCTTCCACTTTGCCTTGAGCCCAGTCTTTCTGTACAAAGAGGGGCTGACCTAAAGTTCCAGTTGCTTTCATCAGGTGGGATCTGGTGAAGGGTCAAAATGGAACTTTAAGATGGGTAGTTGAAGGGTGACACCTGAGGAGAGAGCACTGTCTCAAAACACTGAATTATTTCCCAAAGAGGTGCCCCAAGCCCCTGCAAATGCACTCTCTAGGGAGTCTGGCCACTGGGCCCCTTGCCCTCATTCCACAGGGCAGCTCAGAAAGGCAAGCTCACGAGGACTGGCTCGTGTTCACCTACCCCCTCGTTGCCCACAAGAACTCCCAAGCATGACCTCCATCCTGGCACAATCTTCTGCCCTGAAGCCAGGAAAGGATGGCCTTCTGAGTTGGAGTCCTGCAGTCGGTCTTCCAATCTTGGAGAGAAACATATACTCTACAGACGGTGAGCCTCAGAGACAGCCCAGCCCTGCTGTGCTGCCTCCAGGAGGCTCAGGCGGCTGTGCCTCCTCATTCAGCCTCACTGAGCCTTTTCCACTTCCAGAACATGGTAAAATTCACTTCCTTCTGACCAGACAGTGCTTGGTGGAGCACCAGGCACACATGGTAGTCACTGTCATCACTCCATTCCAGGAGCCTCCAAGAAATCATTTCATCTAACAACCGACATTTACCATAAGGACATTTTGGAGGCCAGGCATAGGGGCTCACCCCTGTAACCCCACACTTTGGGAGGCCAAGGCAAGAGGATCACTTGAGCCCAGGAGTTAGAAACTGCAGTGAGCTATGACGGCACCACTGCACTCCAGCCTGGGCGACAGAGTGAGACCCTGTCTCAAACAAATAAATAAAAAAGAACCTTCCAGAGAACTGAAGGAAAGTGGATATTTGATAAGAGATCTGGGCTGGAGAGAAAAGGCTTTTAAAATATAAATATAATGGCAAGCTCAGAAAGACAGATACAGGGCGATGGTAAGAAGCAGGCAGGTAATCAGACTGGGCTGCTGGGAGATGCTCACTGAGACAAGCAGTGCAGTGGTGTGCTGCTGTGAGGGGAAAACGGGGATGGTGCCCCTGCCACCCTGCTTTGTGACTGGCATGCACAGCAAGGGGGCAGAGCAACAACCTCTGCGGACTGGACCTGTCCTGGGCAGGGGCCTCAGGGAAGCCACAGACCCTGGTGTGAATAAATACACAGCAGGAACCCAGAGCTGCAGATATGAAGAACCCACACACAGCCTCCCACAGGGGGCAGGTGACCCACAGGAAGACAGACAGCCCTGAGTTCACAGCCGTACCTGCAAAGCCCTGCCAGGACATACCCACATCAGCAATGTCCATGCCGGCTTTCATGATGATATTAACGCGGAGGAGGTAATTCTCACAGTGCCTGAGTTGAACAATGCCAACAAAGGTGGAGACAGGGCAGAGGAACAGAGACAAGGAGTGTAGAGAGGGGCTGCAGACAGGAAGAGCAACTCACAACTGTGCAGGAGGGGTCATCAGCTGTGACAGGAAAACACACAGAGACTGACAGAAAGACAGGACGGCCATAGACAGGAGGTGGGACGCAGACAGGTCTGTGGCCCAGAGACCGTGTCTCACCACAACAGCTTTGGGGAAGCGGGTGGCCATGTCATTTTCCTTGTCTCTGTTTGGCTGACCTGCGCATCTCAGGCCCAACCCTGGCTGCTCCCTTTCCAGCTGCAGTTCCCAAACTGTGTGCTAAGGCACCCTGGGACGCCACAGCAAATTCCCAGGGTGTTACAGAATGTCACACCTGTAATCCTAGCTCTTTGAGAGGCCAAAGTGGGAGGATCAGTTGAGCCCAGGAGTTCAAGACCAGCCTGGGCAACATGGTGAGACCCTCGTCCCTACAAAAAAAATTTGTTTTAAAGAAAGCACAATTGAGTCTTGGACAACATGGGGGTTAAGGGCACCAACCCCCTGCAAAGTCGAAAACTTGAGTATAACTTTTGACTCCCTGAAAATGAAACTACTAACAGCCTCCTGTTGACCAGAAGCCTTGTTAATCCCATGCACAGTCAGTCAGGACATACGCTGCATGCCATGTGTGTTATCCACTGTGATCCTACAATAAACTCAGCTGAAGAAAGGAAACTCCTGCTCAGAAAACCTAGAAAAGAAGCCAGACTCACAGTTCACGAGGTGGCAGTGGGTCCTCATAAAGGTCTTCATCCTAGTGGTCTTCATATTGAGTGGCTAAGGAGGAAGACAGAAGCAGGGCTTGGTCTTCCTGTGTCAGGGTGGCAGAGGCAGGAGAAATCCATGTGTAAGTCACCCAAGCAGTGCAAACCTGTGTTGTTCAAGGGTCACCTGTCCTGCATGAACATCACCTTGTATGGCCTGGGAGCCAGGACCTTGAACAACAAGTAAGGGTGTTGCTTCCAGAGGGCCAGTAACTGCAGTTAAGTGAGGATGAAATAAAAATATGATTGATTTATTTTTAACTGATATGAGTTTTTTTCCCAATAGCTACTAATCATTAAGTTGTTGGACCTAATTACTTAATAAACAAAGCCCTTAGGTATTTATTTTAGCCTGAGGAGCTGAGGAAAAAATGACTATAAGTTTCATTTCATTTCATTTCATTTTATTTGAGTCAGGGTCTCACTCTGTCACCCAGGTTAGAGTGCAGTGATGCAATCATAGCTCACTGCAGCCTTGAACTCCTCAGCCCAGGTGATCCTCCCATCTCGGCCTCCCAAAGTGCTGGGATTACAAGTGTGTACCACCATACCTGGCCAATTGAAAGTTTTGACCTCAAGAACCCACTGCCCGTGGAGAAGGCATCCAAAGAGTGACCCCCACAAGGAGGGTCAGGGAAGCTTCTAGAAGGGAGCAAGTTCCAATGGAACTGAGCGTGGAGGGGCACTCTGTCTTCTGACCCTGTCCTGCTGCTGTTCCTTCCAGGGTCCTTCAGCCAGAAAGCCCCCAGAGCCTTGAACTCTCTGTCTGCCCAAACCCCTTCCCTGTTTTCCCCCAACTTATTTTTGCTCAAAGGAGGAAAAAGAAGGAAGCAAAAGATGACCAGTTAGTGTCTGAAATCCTGGCTTGCCCCACCCATAACAGGGACTCACACCTGCTGTAGACAGGGAACTCACTACCTCACAAAGCAAACTGCCCATGAGAGATGTCCCTCCCACCTGGCTTACCCCACCCAAGCAGGGGTCCTACAGAGCTTCTGGGGTGGGCAGCGCCTCCTCTTGCCTGGGGGCCTATTCTGGAAGGAGGGAGCACGCTCCGTGGGCCCTCCAGCAGGCTAGAAATGATGTTCCCTCCAGCACCATCCATACATGAGAAGTTTTGTTTCATTAAACACATGACTGGCTGCTCAGGGCTTAGCTCCAGAGCCGCCCAGTTGTCAGGCCTTCTCACACGTGCTCTCTCCGAGGACCATGAGCCCTTTCCTGATGCTGGCTTGTAAAGGTCTCACCCACCTCCCCATTCTACCTGTTGGAATGTAGGTCTGTGTCCTGGCCAACAAGGAGGTCTGTGGAGACAAAGCCAGGTCTCAGTTACCTTTCAGCACCCACCCGGCATGCCCCCAGGAGCCTGCCCTATGCCTTGACCTCGACCTACCCCATCCCAGTCCCCAGCGCAATGGCCAGGTGGGGACGTAGACCTTGACAGGCTGGTCAGGGATAGCTCCCTTTAGGCAACAGCAGAGGGCGCTTCCAGGGAGGCCCCTCACCTTCCGCTGCACCTCAAGCAAGGGAGAAGAGGTGCTGTAGGCAACATCACCCGAGCCTCGAAGACACTCAGTGGCAGCCCCTCAGGCCCCTGACACCCAGCTGGGGTCCCACCCTTGCTCCCCCACTCTGCTCTCCACCCCACCCCAGCCCAGCCCCACTGACTTGGCTGCTCTGGAGCCGAGGCGCTCAGGAGGCTCACAGAGGGAAGGAGGAACCCCGCATGGTACAGGCAGGTGCCCAGGAGCTAGTTCCAGAAGTCTCCACCCACTCCTCCACGCAGCCTACCCTGGCTCCCTGGTATCCAGAGTCTTCAGAAACAGGAGCCCTCGCTTGACAGCCGGGTCTGGGCAGGCTGAGCTCCTGCCTGAGGCCTCGGGGTCTGCTCCTCCCTTCATCTTCCACAGCCTGGGGAGCGGCCGGCTCTGTGTGTCCACTACCCAGGTGGCACTGGCAGGGGATGGGGCCTGATGGGGGAGAAGAAAGCAACCAGGAGGAGGGGCTTGGGAAACCAAGGGGCAGGAGAGCAGGACTGAGCAGTCTGTGCTCACCTGCCCCCTTCAGTGAGGTCATAAGGCCCATCCTGTCGGTGGGCAAGGCTGCCCTACTTTGTGTGTGCAGAGCTGGCATCCTCTGGGGGGCTCCCCATCACCAAGGCTCTAATCCCTGAACCTCATTGCTGCGGAGGTGGGGGTAACAAGAGTCTGCGTGCCTCAGGCTGGGCTCAGTCGCCCACCCCACCTGCAGCCCAGGTTTCCCCCAGTACCATAATTGGGTGGGATTTTTGCTGCAAGGCAAAGTCCAGAGGAGCACAAACACGCTCCCTCCCCTCTCCCTCCCTGCCCCCACGGGGGCTTCATTCCAGAGTTCTTCCCTCCTTCCCTCTGAGGGTGGGGGCCCCCTCAGTGCCTCGGAGAAGGGGGTGGGCGGCCGGGCATGCCTGGAGGGAACTGGATTCCCAAGGTAGTGAGGAGCAAAGGGAACTTTTCTTTAAAGAGAACCGCTGTCACTCTGAATTCAGGTCTCCTGACATAGTCACGAGGTGACCCCTAGGGCTGGTGTCCACAGGACCACAGGCTCCCTCTGCAAATGCAGAACCAAGTTGTGAGTGGGGAACACTGTGGGAAGCAGCTGCCTCCATCAGCCAGCCAGCGACACACCTGGGGACATCTCAGCCACCCCCTCTCTGAGAAGCTGCACAGAAGCGGCCACATGCCCATCCCTGCCTCTCCATGCACCTCCCTCCCGCAACTCTGCAGCAGCACAGGAGGCCTGGCCCACAGGCTGGGCAGTGCAGGATCCCCAGAGAACACACCACGGATGAATCTGGAGTTGCTTGGAGCTCTCAGAAGCTCCCAGAGCCTCCTTCCTCAATTCCAAAGTGGCAACCAAGATTCCTGCTGAGCTTCGGTCACAGTGTGACTGCAGGAGGACCAGCCCCGGTGGGATAGTGCCTCTTTTTTTTTTTTTTTTGAGACGGAGTCTCGCTCTGTCGCCCAAACTGGAGTGCAGTGGCCGGATCTCAGCTCACTGCAAGCTCCACCTCCCGGGTTTACGCCCTTCTCCTGCCTCAGCCTCCCGACCATCCCAGTTATCAGGTCCCCCAGGGGAGGCTGGAGACACTTCCCCTCTGCAAATTGCAACCTCCCCAGGCGGCTCCTGGGGCTCCATATGAATATGCAAATGACTGGGAGCTGGAGAGTTGACTGGTCACTGGGTGACCTTGGGCAAGTCACTTTCCCTCTCTGGTCTTCCCCTGTCCATCAGCAAACTCCTACAGCTTAACTAAATAGTCAGAAATCCCTCTGGCTGAACAGGCTGCATAGCTCTGGGCAGACCTGGAGGTTGGTGGTCCCAGAACCTGGGGGCAGCACTGCGCTTCCCCACCGTCCCATCGTCCCATCGCGTCAGGGGTTTCCACTGTTCTCTTCCCTGGTGCAGTGATGGGGAGAAAAATGGAGGGGTCAATCCCTGCGCCACAGAGAGTCCCACTCGTCCCCCACTGTGACCCACAGGCGCGTGGCTGCACCTTGGAGGTCCACCTGGCCGCTGTCCCCATTGCAGGCTGCACCCGTCCCGGACCCTTTCTATCCGCCGAATGCGCGGGCAGTCCTGGTCTCAGAGGAAGGAGTCCGGCTGCAGGCAGACAGGGCCAAAGGACGTGCACCAGACAACCGTCACTCCCGCCTCAAACCCCCGTCCCAAGCAGGTTGTTGGATGAAGGGGAGACCTAGCCCAGCCACCTCGAGGGCAAGAGACAGAGCTCGCCATAGACCGGGAGCGAGAGGGGGACTGCGGGTCCCACCGTGAGCTCAGGGCGCGCGGGGCTGGAAACCCAGGACTCGGCCCGGGAGACTTGAGGGGCGCGGCCCGGGAGCTCCAGGAGGGCACTTGCGGATCGCGCAGCCCCCGGCCAGCCGCCTGCCCATCTGGCGCACCCCAGCGCCCCGCACACACCTGGGCGCCCGCACACCAGCACGTCCTCAGACACACCGGCACCCACGGCAACAGGAGGGGGCCAAAGCCGCCGCCGCCGCTCGGGCTCCCAGGGCCCCGCCCGCCCCTGCCTGCCCCGCCCGGGCCCCGGCCCTGGCGGGCGCCCCCCGCGGCGCTGCCCCGCCCCCGCCGCCCCGCGCCGCCCCGGGCCTCGGCCCGCAGCCCGGCCGCCGGCCCACCTGGCGCAGCGCCGCCCTCGGAGCCCGCGCACACCCGCGCACCCGCGGTCGCAGGAGGGCCCAGCGACGCCGCCGCGCCAGCTCCCAGGGCCCGGCCCGCCCCGGCGCTCAAGCTCTCGGGGCGGACTCCCGGCCCTCCGCGCCCTCTCGCGCGGCGATGGCCCCGCTCGGATACTTCTTACTCCTCTGCAGCCTGAAGCAGGCTCTGGGCAGCTACCCGATCTGGTGGTGAGTGAGCCTCCTCGCGTTCGCCCCTGCCCCTGTGCGCCGGGCCCGCAGCAGACGGCCCCCTCGGGCAGGGACCCCGCGGTGGCCGGAGCCCGCGCCCTTCTGCTCCAGCCCAGCGTGCGGGCCGCGGGCGGTTGGTTTTCCTGGACGGCCACTTTGGACCTGTTCAGGCCGCTGGGACGCGTGGGTGGCGGAGCTTCCGGAGACATTGATTCCCGAGCGGGGGAGTGGGGGAGGTTGCGGAGGTCCTAGCTGCCCCTGGCGTCGGACAGGGCGAACAGTGGGCTGGGGAGAGGCTGAAAGAAGGTCGGCACGCACGGTAGCCGAGGGGACAGGCAGCTCGAGGCCAGGGGACAGGCGAGGGAAGAGGGCAAGCGAGAGGGAATTCGCCGGAGACTTTCCTCAAAAACCGTATCTTACACACAAACACACACACACACGTTTTAAAACAAAGTCGATGAGACAAGACTGAACAGCTCGGAGCAGCGTGGTTACGTAAAGAAAGCTGGGACCCGGCGGGGAGTGGCGCAGAGCCGGCGGCGGGGCGCACTGGGGGCTGGCCCCGGGCCCCGCGCGCCTCTCCGCCGCAGTCCGGGCGCGGGGGTTTCCAGGGGTCCTCTCTGCGAGCCTTTCGCCTGGGTCCGCCTAGCGAGGAGGGGCTGCTGTAGAGAGAGGTAAAGGTGAGTTAAGCACGGGGTGTGAGGGGCTCCAGAACCCTCAATCAGAAAGCGCTTAGCTGCGCCCTCCATGCCAGAAAAGGCGCGTTCCATGAGACCCTCCCCAGCCTGGCGATGGAAGTGCAGATAAACCAAAGGAAGGGTCCCCAAAGGTCTCTCTCAGGCCTCCCACCTCCACCGCACATATCCTGTGGGAGGGGGAACGGGGACCACACTTTCGCCAGGGCTTGTGATCCCTCAGAGCCCTCACCAAGCAAGGGTCACCCCAGTTCCGAATTAAGGGCGCTCTGAGATGCCCAAGATTGAGGAACACAAGTGGCAGGAATGTGGGCGCTCAGGGCCAGGCGCAGCGCTGGTAGGACCCGCAGTTGGAGAGAAGCCTCCCCACAAGCATGCACACTCCCCTCCCCATCATTCTCCGACGGCAGCCTGGAATTATAATAATTACGCCGAGGGGAAGGGGGGAGACCCAGCGAGCCGAGGTACATCTAATCCGATAATAATTTTTCTCTTCGAGATGGTTCAGGAGCGGGGGCTCCCGCGGTAGAGGCGCCGGGCCAGGAGCAGCGGGGCGGGGAAAGGGCAGCCCTAGGCAGCTGACGGGCCTGGAAGAGGCCGCGAGGCCGCGGGGACGCGCTTCGGGGACCCCCGCGCACCCCCACTTCCGCGTGCCCCATTTCCTGTGCGGCACCTGCGGCGCCCAGTGGCCCACCTGAGGGCCAGGCTCAGGGCGCGCCTTGGGGCGCTGGGATACTGACGCGCGTCCAGACGGCCGCAGGGAGTCAGGGGCAGCGCGTTCGTCGGAGAGAGCCCTGAGGGCGGCCAGCTTACGCACCAGGCAGGCTTCTAATTAGAACCCGCCGCGTTCCTGAGCGCAAAAGGAAGCGCCTTGGCCCCCGCGCCCTTCCCATAAATGTCGCCAGCCTCCTGGCAACCCTGCGCCCTAGGATCTTTGTCCTGTCGGCCCTGAGGGTTCCTAGCCTCGGTCCCCGTCCACCTCATACGCATGTATACCTCCCTTTCACCTGGGCCCCCTGTGTTCTACTCTGAATGGACCCTGAGACACCCTCCAGGACACTCAGGTATTCTGCAGGGGAGCCAGGAGGAGCAGAGAAGTGAAGTCCCTGTACCCTCCCCACCCTCCCATCAAGAGTACAGGACAGTCCTTTGGCCACACAGGGAAGGGGGACATAGAACCCCCACCTGACACTGATGTGGGTGGGTGGTGAGGACCCCTCCCCCATCCCCACCCCCACTTTGTTCTCAGTAGGGTTCTCACACTTGGGGATTCTCTGCTTCCTGAGAAGCAGCCTCCGCTTGGGGGAGGCTGGCTTCCTGGGGACAAGTCTGCCCCCTTCTTGATCCCCTCTCTGCCCCCAGGCAGGCTCGTGCTTGAGCAAGGACATGCCTTCCCCCAGGCGTGAGCAGCACACGGGCAGCATAGGGAGGAAGACTCACAGAAGGACACAGCGCTGCAGGACCCCTGCTGCTGGACCCCTGCCACTTGTGTCCTGCAGTTTAATAGCCAGGGAAGATTCTCTCTCTTTCTCTGAGTCTTCTACCCAGTAGAGCGTCTCCTCCTTTCTCCTGTCTCCCAGCATCCTCCCCAGATTAAGCATCACCAGGGGAGGAAGGGACCTTGGCCCCTGCCAGGTGGGCTCCTGGTGAGCCCCAGTGGAGCGGAGCAGGCTGGGGTGGGTGGCCTCTCTGTAACTCCTCACCTGCGCCCCCAGCCCCTCCCTAACATGAAGCTGCTGGCCCCTTGCTTCTCCCCCCTCCACCATCACCAGCACATGAAAGTGAAAGTGAAGGGGAATCTCCTCACCTGGAGAAACAAACCAGGAAACAGCCCAATTCAGGGTAATTAGGCTTTTGAAGTTGGCAGAGGGAGAGGCAAAGGTGTCCCTGTGTGGCCAGCAGCACTGTGAGAGAGTGAAGGGCCACCTGCCTCCCCAGGGCTGGGTGGCCCAGAGGTGTCTTACACCCACGCAGCAGATGCCAGCAGTCCCAAGGCCGAGCGGGTCTGAAATGCAGAGACGGGCCTGGTCTAACACTGAATGGTTCAGACTGCACAGATGTCCAGGGGCATCCATTCTGAGCTCATCCAGTGACAGACAGGAGCCAGGCAGGAGACCAAACCAAGGCCTATGCACCTGACCACCTGC